CCCAACAGTTGGGATAATTTTTGCTATTTGTTTGAAGCCTTTCTGAGTTTTAAATAAGTTTTAAATTGTCCGTGAATATTATGTTTGACACAGTAAAATAATAAAGAAATCCTACCTTTCAAGTATAAATACAACATTTTGTGGTTTTTTTTTTCGTTTTCTGGGACGATTTTTTCAATATTTTGTCGATTTTGAAACCAAATTTGCCGAATCATTCTTTTTGAAAAGCATTATTTACTAGTCTGCTAGTAAATAATGCCTCAGATTTACTAGTCAACTAGCCAATCAGAACGCGCGAAAGCTCATTTGATATGCAAAATTTATACTATTATATTATATTATATTATATTATATTATATTATATTATATTATATTATATTATATTATATTATATTATACCAATAGAAACTGTATGTCTGAAATGCCACCAAGCAAGACACTTACTAACTCCAAAGGTCTGCTGTTATTAGTTAGTTTTGCTTGAAACTATATACATTACTCACTGTTTATATATGTTATTTATATTGTGCAAATGTTACTGTGCTGTTTTATATTTGTGTGTTAAGCTGTGCATTATGTGTTTTGTACTTGTTAAACCAGGTCGTCAACGTAATTGGCCTACGCTGTGTTGACGTTCCTGTGCCGTTCTGTACTATTGAGTATTGTAAATTTTGTAAACGGCAAAGTTTATAAATAAATAAATATACATAACATTCATATTACTTATTTAGCTATTAATATTATAGTACGATAAAACAACATTTCTAAACAACTCACGATTCGTAATTATGTTGTATGCAAGTGTAATTGTGTCTCTGTGTCGGTTCAGTGGTTACAGCTGTAACAAGCACGTGACTTTAATTAAATTACTGAATTGCAGGGCGAGATAGCCCTCTGGATTGCCTGCATGTAACATTACCTTCAATTCTTTGTTTCGGTAAAGTAGACGTTGTTTTTCAGGAGGTGTTCTGAGCTCTTTCTCCACTTCTTTCTTGATGTCGAAAATCTTCTTAAGGGGGTAATACGAAAGAGTTACAGACTCCCCAGAAATCGTTGTCACATAAATTTTGCCCGAGCCAATACCTGTAGCTGCACATTCTGCCTGATAGGCACTCTCATCAGCCTCCTCTTCTGGTGGGAAAAGGAAATCCAACGTCTCTAAATATTCCTTATATATTTCATTGTCTTCCGTCGCTGTATTCCCACATTGAGAACATTTCTTTCTATTCTTAACAGACGCTGTTGCACACTTGAAACAATAGAGGATGTATTTAGGTTAGACATATTCTAGCTGACTGAAATCATGTTGGAAATGTCCAGGAAATTTTTTTTAATTGGTCAATTTTAAAGCCGAAAGGACTAACATGAATCAGGAGAGGAGTTTACTCTTTCTAGTATCTCGTCGCGACAACTCCGAGAAGATAATGATATGTTATTAACAGCAACATTATTTTTATTTCCATCATCATTTATTGCCATCCAAACACGGAAATTTAAAGTAAAAGTTTTTTAAAGTGAAATTTTAACACGGAAAGTTGTAATTTTATAAAACAATTACTTTATGGTTTCCGTGTTTGGATGGCCTGATCCAAACACTTGGGAATGTTGCTCGAGTTAAGAAAAGCGCGCAAAATCACTCGCCTTCGGCTCGTTCGGCTCGTGATTTCGCGCGCTTTTCTTCACTCTAGCAACATTCCCGCGTGTTTGGATCAGGCCATCCAAACACGGAAACCATAAAGTAATTGTCCCCGAGCCAACGGCGCGAAGCGCCGTGCGAGGGTACTAATTCCCCCCGGCTATTTACACCCG